GTGGAGGTTTTTGGCTGAACGCCCGCTGATAATGTAAACATTTCCCGCTGAGGCTTTGTGTTAAACCACATGTGCACACGCACGCGCGGTCGGACAGACTGCATATTTCTATCAACATGGCAGCAGATACACTGCTTTCTGAATTACGATTGATGGAATATATTTTTAATCTCGTAGTTAATCTACGTCAAATTCCAGGTGCTGTGACCAACATCTGTGTTGGAAGAGACACAGTCAGATCCAGTTCTAATGTCGCTGTTTATAGAACGAAGCACGCACACACGTCGCGCTGCACTATAACATACTAAATGTGCTAAATAATAACAGTTTAATAATAATAAAAAGTATTTATGTTAGTGTGAGAGATATGACGCTTTGAGCTAAATGAAGCTATCTGGACATTATGTAATTCAAATTTCAAAGATGCTAAACATATTGCGTGTTACTAAAGTTGAAAATGAAGACATCAGGTTTAATTTTTTTTATTTATTCAACACCACAAACTGTATGTCACACAAACACTGATAATTAAACTGAACACACTATTAAAAACACGTTAACTGAACTGTAAACTACATTAATGAACTGGACTCTCCTCTGTTTTCATCCTGGATATACTGGTCCTACGTTGTTCATCTGACTCGTTCAGGTGGTCACTCCTTTGATTAATGCAGCTTAAAATATTGAATGGATTGAATAAAAGAAATTAGGGGAATTTTAATTAAATAGTTCATCTAACATCTCTCTCTTCGACATCCTCCTGCACTGCACCTGGGCCGAGCCTCGTTAAGAACCGGTCCACCTGGTGGGAGGACAGCTTCTTCTTTTTTCAGGAAAAATAAAAATAAAAACTCAGTTGGTTGTTGTGTGATCAAAGTAAGCTAACATTATTAAGAACGTTGATTTACCCGCTGTAAATCAGCTACTGATTATCACGGAGTAAAGTCTGACATTGTTGACTCGGTTCTGGTCCACTCAGTGACCGGTGTGGCGCTGTTAGACGAAGCGGTCCCGCTTGGCGTCAAATCTGTCGACTCTTATCCAAAATCCAGCTTTAACTTGTTATTAAGTTGTTGTTAGCTGAGCTTTTAGCCCAGAAGAAAGGAGCGTGCCGAGGCAGCACGCATGCACATTAAGTGAAGGTACAAAATTCACAGCGCCATCTAATGACCCGGCATGGTAACTACAGCAGCTTCGGGAGGGCGGGGGAATTTCTCCGGATGCATGTAAACACAAAATCCGTCCGTGTCAACACGGATCTTTTCCTCTAATTAACATACGAAAAAACCTACGTTTCCCCCCGCCGTGTCCGTGTAAAAAGGGCCTAAGCCTATAGCAGCATAACTAAGGGATAGCTCAGGAAACCCAAGCTGACCCTAACTATAGGATTTATCAAAAAGGAGAGTCTTAAGCCCCGTCTTAAAACTGGACAATGTGTCAGCCTCACGGACAGAAAGTGGAAGTTGGTTCCACAATAGAAGAGCCTGAGAACTGAAAGCTCTGCCTCCCATTCTGGTTAGATATGATCTCTCCTACTAAACTCCAGTTAAGAATCTGGCAGCAGCATTTTGGATCAACTGAAGACATTTAAAAGAAGTATTTGGACACCCAGATAATAAACAATTGCAATCGTTCAGTCTAGACATGCCAAATGCATGAACCAGTTTTTCTGCATAATTTTTGGACAAGATGTTTCTAATTTTATTGATATTATGCAGGTGGAGGAAAGAGGTCCTGGTAACGTTTTTAATGTGGGGATTAAAAGACATGTCTTGATCAAAAATAACACCAAGTTTTTAACTTTAGAGCTGGAGGCCACATTAATGCCATCCAGAGGAAGTGAAAGACTGAAAAATGTATTCCTAAGATGCTCAGGTCCAAAAACCAAAACGTCTGTCTAGAGTTTAAAAGCAGAAAATTTAGGGTACCACAGGCACCTTACACCCTCTGCTGACAGAACTCAGAACAACACCCACACTGATAAACTGCTAAGGATACAATACAGTATATTGAATTTATATGAAAAAAAAAAAATACATTCACCTGTAAAAAAAAATACCAGAATACATTTTCCTGTCATAAGCCAAGATTCAGCTTGTCTGCTGGCCTCCTTAGATAGAGGGCTTTTATGTATGTGAATGTTTCTGTAAAGTGCCCTGAGTCCTGAGTTAGTTAGTTAGTTGTTAGTTAGTCTAGAGTTAAATGGTAAATGGACTGTACTTATATAACACCTTTCTTATTTCAAGATACTCAAAGCGCTTTACACTACAATCAGTGTCCTCATTTACCCATTCATACAGCACTCTACATTGCTAAAAAGCTAATTGAACACATCATTCTAATTAGACTAATCAGTGCTTTAGATCACATTCATACACTTATGGGACACACATCAGAGGCTATGAGGGGTTCAGTGTCTTGCCCAGGGACACTTCAGCATGTGACTGCTGGTGGATTCGAACCCCCAACTCTCGCATTGGAGGATGACTGCTCTAACCACTCAGCCACAGCCGCCCCACAGTTAGTTAGTTGTTCGACAAAAGAAACCCAAGTGGACAAAAATAAATATATAAAT